ACACACACACACACACACACACTGGCAGGGTCGTTGCAATATTCGTTTTTGCTGCCTGTTGCAGCGCTCTAGCGCTGCACAGCTAAAACGCATAAAAAGAAGCCAATATAAAAACTGTCTATGTAAACATATTTTTGCGTTTTTGAGCATGTGCCGCAGTAGTTAGTTAAGAAAATTAAGAAGCTGAAATTTAAAGCGCTTTTTCTGGTCAAGTACAGACCCTAAAGCGTAGAATCAAATTTCACGTCCTCAACGTTCTTCAGCTATTCGCGTCACTGTCTGACTTCAGACCAATGCAGTTACAGCACGTAGCACTACACCTCAAATCTTTATTCATTATAAAATGATGTAGCACTACTATAAAATGATGAATAATTAAACAGCTATTACGATGAAGCAAAACAAACTGCCAAATTCGCAGTTTGTGAACCTGCAGCTGCTTATCGCAAAAACGTACAACTGTGTCAACCGTATTGTGAGTTCCTCCAATTATGTTTATTACAGAATGAAAATCAGCTACAAAGCAAAGAGAAGCAACAAAAAATAACCAAGTAAATAGCTAAATGAACATATTCAAATCGGAAACACTGAAAATTCTGTTGACATCATGTTCTGGAACAGCCTTTGTAAACATCAGGGGTATTGTTGCAGTCTGAAAACATGGATCGAGATTTAACTGGAACAACTCTCGATAACGCTAGAATCGGACTTCTTAATGATGTTGCAAAGCTGCTCCTTTGGTATTTGCTACTTCGAGGATCCTGGGTAATGAACATATCTAGATTACCGCGTCTCTGAGGCTTAAATCAAGAACAAACACATTATTGGTGGATAATTTTCACTTGAGAAGGGCTTTTTGACTAGGTAAAGCTCGAATCAGATGGCTGTTGCATTATACGCTCCTGACAAACCCACAGAAAAGAAGTCGGATACTAGTGATAGATCATGGCAATCACCAATTCCGACGGTAGTAACGTATCCAGATAGGATTATGCTGGTCCAGTGCATTCGACAAATTGCAAGCTGAACTAACTTCTTTGATATCGGCTAATCCCTGCAAAGCCGCTCGAAGTGCTTTTAACTGAACACTCGGTATGCGTAAATCGACCACATTTTTCCGTTGGATTTGTTCTTTGAAATGCTCGACTAAGGCACCAAATAGAGCCAGGAAAACGAGCTCGCTGTCGCCGTATATTGGAGAAAACCCTGGACTATCCCATATTGAAAACAAGTGCGCTGATCCATAGCCGACAATTTCATTATCTGAATTTATGACCACCTGCAAAAATTCGTGTCTTACAATAGTTTCGCGAATGATTTCAGTTAGCAACAACTCTGCCTACGGTGATGTGATCGTCGCAACTGGAAAAAATGCTGAACTCCTTTGTTACCTACTTCGATTATCCTCTGACAATTTTTTGACTCGCTGTGAGGTACCAGAACTTGGTTCATTTGGTGTTTTAATTTATAACTATGTCCACTTTATTAATGCACAACGGAATTGGAAAGTTGACTTCGCTTGTGGAACTTTTCTCATGATATAATAAGTCAAGTTTAATGCTAGGGGTCGAAAGCTCAATTCCTCCAGTAGGAAACCAATACTTCCTCAATTCGTTTATTCGCTTCAACAT